AAACATTATGGTTTGTCTAAACACCAATTTGGTTTTAGGAAAGGGAGGTCGACGGTCCATGCGCCACTGGATCTGCTTGGCCTGGTAAGAAGACGTAGGGAGGGAGGCGAGAAGGTTATCGCGGTTGCTCTAGACATTAAGAACGCCTTTAACTCTCTGAGTTGGCCAGCCATTATTGGAGCGCTGAGGGGGATGGGGTTGCCGCGGTATCTCCTCGCCCTCATTGGCTCGTATTTAAGGGAAAGAAGAGGCTCTATAGTCTTTGAACAGGGCAGATATGAATTCGAGGTAAGCAGAGGCGTCCCTCAGGGCTCGATCCTCGGCCCGCTCCTGTGGATCCTCACCTACGACCAGGTCTTGAAGAAATGCTTGGCGGTGGGACTCAGGGCGATCTGCTACGCAGACGACACCCTGGTCTTGCTGTCGGGTCGGAAAGCTAAGGACACCTTCTATGCACTTAGTATTAAACTGAATGAAATTGTAAACTCTATTGAAAAGCTGGGTCTTCAGATTTCCTCCGAGAAAACGGAGGCTGTGGTTTTTCGGACGTATGCCACTAATAAGGAATGGCGCCAGCAACCCTTATGGGTTAAAAAGGACCAAGTGTATCCAAAAAAGTGCATCAAATACTTGGGTGTCTGGGTTGACTCCTTCTTAAACTTTGGAGATCACTTAAGGAAATTAGAGACTAAGGTCGAATCCACTTTGGGAGGACTGGCAAAAATTGCCCCGAATCTGAGGGGCCCGAGGATGAAAAAGAGGGCCCTGCTTGCCTCGGTAGTTAGTTCCATAGTATTATATGCGGCCCCTGTGTGGGCGGACTCGCTGAAATGTCAAAAAAACAAGAAAATATTGGGTAGGATATATAGGAAGTGTGCGCAGCTAGTTTGCTGCGCATACAAGACTACAGCCGGCGAGGCGGCGGGAGTCGTCGCGGCGGTCCCATCATTGGATATGGTTGCTCATATGAGGAAAGAGATTTTTACAAAGTGCGAAAGGGAAAATCGCGAGATGGGTTCTTGTTCTGGCAGCGGGAGGAACTCGGGTAATGGAAGGAGGGGTAGGATTAAAAAAAGAGCGGAAAGGGCTGTCATTAAAAAGTGGCAAGAAAGATGGTCTGTCAGAGGTCCGTTAGATAGTGGCGCATGGACTAGGCGGCTGATACCGGATGTTACTCTCTGGAAGAGGAGATGTTATGGAGACATTGATTATTATATGGCCCAGGCGCTTACGGGACATGGAGCCTTTAATGCCTTCTTGTTTAGGATTAGCAGGATAGAGAAGCCCTCCTGCAATCTCTGTGGATCACTATGGGATGATGCGGAGCATACTCTCTTTGTTTGTGAGGCATGGAAGGATAAAAGAAGACAATACGGAATACCGGGGGAGGAAATTTTGAGGTCGCCGAGAGGATTTATCACGTTTCTGATGAGTAGCAAGGGTAACTGGGATGCCTTTGCTAATTACGTTAGAGATATTTTGGATACAAAGGAGAGATATGATAGAGAGGTAGGGTTTTAAGCTGCTGGTCGATTACTATTGCTGCGGGTTGGTAGGAAGGATATCTGGGATAACATTCTAACAGTCGGTGGTTCTCTTAAGGTACTATTTAGCTGCCGTGGTACTCATCGAACTTATTATCTAGTCGCCGGGTTACTTATTTACCGGTTACCTGGGTGTGGTTTTTCTAGTCTCTTACTTACCTTTTTGTTCAGTAATTTATTTATTTTATCTAATTTATTATCTAGTCATTTAGTTACTTATGTATCGGATTCGGACGGGTGGTTTTATCTAGTCATTTACTTACTCATATTTTTTCTACTGCGTCGGGATATTTAAGGTTCGGGATATTTTAGGCATTAAAAAGAGATATGATTGAGAATTTTATCGGTTTTTTAGGGGAAGTTTATCTAGTCAACTATCTACCTTTTTTGTTCAGTTATTTATTTATTTTATTTAACTCATTATCTAGTCACTTAGTTATTTATGTATCGGATTTGGGCGGGCAGTTTATCTAGGCATTTGCTTATATTTTTCTAATATGTAAGGGATATTTTAGATACTAAGAGGAGGTATGATAGAGAGGTAGGGTCCTATTCTCTGGGTCGATTACTATAGTTGCGGCTTAGAAGGAAGGATATCGGTGGTATCATTCCGACAGTCGGCGGCTTTCCTGAGATTCTATCTAGTCGCTGTGTTACTCATTTTATTTATTATATAGTTACGTGGTTACTTTTTTACCGGTTTTTTGTGCGAAGTTTATTTACTTATTTAGTCAATTACTTATACTTTTTCTTTAGTTACCTATTTATTTTATTTACCTTGCTCTTAGCTAGGGAACGTTTTTTACTTATTACTATATAAGCAAATGCTTGATATACTGGTTTGGAGATCCCGTTAGAGAGGGAATCTGCGCTTTGGATCTAGGTAAGGGAGCGTAGCGTTGGGTTGGCAATACAGACATAGAGGCGCAGGGGAGAGACAAGATGGCGACGATGGAGTAAGACGCGTTCCTATTATGCTCTGTGATTTTTTTTTATTTTCTTGAGTTCCGATTGGTCTGTTTTGGACAATTGTGTAGAGATAGGTTCATAAGAGTTTGTTAGTTTATTTTACTGTTTGGTAGTAAGTAAGAATAAATTACAATATAAGAAAGAGTGGAAGAAAATAACGTGGGCCTCCTGGTTGGCCAAGAACCAGGAACAGAAACATAGAAAGGATAAGGGAGACAAGGAGAGAGAGAAGGAAAGTGGAGGGAGGAAAAGAAACGGAAGAATGGGAAGATGCTATGAGTGGTGATGAAGGTAAAGGCGAAAAGGAGATTACGATGAACATGTAAGGAGAGGAGGGAATTTGCCCGGATGAAGGAAAAGAGGATACGAGCTTATTGAAAAGCTTAAAGAAGGACTGGGCGCTGGAGTACCTGGCCGAGGAGGAAGAGGCTATCTTGGACACTTCGAAAAGGGAATGTATGGAAGGTGCGAAACAGGAGGAAGAAAAGGAGGGAAGAAATAGGGATAAGATGGAGGTGGAAGAGAGAAAGAAAAGAGCTAGGGAAATGGAAGAGGAGAGCGAGGAGTCGGAGGAGGGAGTCAGGAAGGAAAAGAGAAGAATCAGAGAGGTGGGAGGAAGTGACGTAGTGTCGGTTCTAAATGAATTGGCCAATGAGGTGATCGTATCGGATGGAGAAGGTGAGTTCGACTCGGTAAGGTTGGTAACAGTGACGACTCCAGCGACCCCCGATACAGTGCGGGAGCGTGGGGAAACGGAAAAGGACGCTTTATTTGCGCAGAACAACGGCCATTTTGAAGCCGAGTGTAGTACAGTGAAGATCGTAACAGAAGAAAACAAAGAACGCGAGGCCGTTAAAACAATTGAGGGTGGAAAAGACAATCGGACGGATGTCGCAATCTATAATAGTAATAAGGTAGTAGTAGTATTAGACGATAAGATAGGGGATAAGGGGGAAGTAGAAAGAATAAATAAGAACAACGAGGAGTGCGTGCGTGATACGCAACACGTGGTTGAGAACAATGGGGGGAAACGAATAGAAATAAGGACATTAAAGCTAGAGAAAATGAAGGGAATGATAAATTCGAACAAAAAAAAAAAGAAGAAATTATAGATTTGTATGAGGAATACGTAGCTGGGGGGGAATACTTAGTATGCTGTGCACTTAAGGTGACAGGGAAAAACAAAACGAAAAGGAACAATCTTATAAAAATTTATAGAATGGTGCAGGGAACAGGGGTTAACATAAAATCCATTAGGATGGTTGGTTTTAGCAGGACCGAGGTTACAACCAGAAGCAGACAGGAGGCGAATAACCTGCTAAAGCGTTATTGCAAGGGAGAAGAAAGATTTACGACGTTCTTACCGAGAAGAATGAAGTACAGGAGGGGAATAATCTTCGAGTGGGAAGATTCGGTGGATGAGCTAGAGGAGGAAGCAACACCCGGACAAGGAGACTATGTGCTAGAGAGGATGAGAAGGAGAAGAATTATTGATGGAAAGGTGACGTATGAGGCAATGAGGGCAATTATGATTGTCTTTAAGGGGAGCGTTCTGCCTACAAGGTTACTCATAGGGCAGGGCCACGTGGGGATAAAAATCGAGCCCTTCGTGGAACCAGTGAAGCAATGTTATCGCTGTCTGAAGTTTGGGCATGTGCAGGCGACGTGCAGGGAGCAAGTAAGGAAATGTGCTGTGTGTGGGGACAAAGAACATGGACAGTGCAATAAGGACCCAAAATGTGTCAATTGTGGCGGCAATCATGGCTCTCTGGCAAGGGGGTGTTGGATGTGGCAGAGGGAGGCCGCAATTAGGAAGGTCATGGCCTTCCGGAATGTTGAGTTCGACACAGCAAGAGGGATCGTAGCAAGATCTTTGGGAGACAGAGAAGTGGATAGAGTGGGAGGACTAGACGAAGGCGATGACGGAGGAAGTAGAGATTACCCGGCGTTAATACAAAGGGGAAAAAGGGAAATCTGTGAGGAAAAAGAAATCCCAATAGAGAGAGAGTTGGAGAATGTAAGGAGAGGAAGGGAAGAGCTGAATAGAAGCAGAGGAGGAAATCGAGGCAGAAAAAGTTTCAGTGATGTCGTAAGGAGAGGAAGAAGCGGGGAGAGAAAATCGACTATCCCTGCAGGGATGGAAAAAGAAAGAGTAGACGAGGAGGACGAAGAGGAAGAGCGGTTGGCTGGAACCTAGCTCCAAAGGGAAAGAAGGGAGGTAGGCCCGCATGCTTTAATAGCAAAACGGACCTAATCAAAATAAATAATCGCTACATTTGCCTGGAGTGCAAAGAAAGGACAGAAAGGAATGGGAAGGTACTGGAAGATATTCCCTTCCCACATGAAATGGTGTGAGGAGAGAGACCTGAAGAAGATAGAGAAGAAAGGGAACGGGTGCCCTCGGGTGAAGAGGGAAATAAGGGAGAAGAAAGAAGGGATGAGGAGAAAAAGAAACAGAAAAACCTGGAGTCGGAAAAAAGACAAAGAATGGAGGAGGAGGAGATAATGAAGGAGTTTATTAACTTCTTACATGAAAAAAATATGGAGGGAAGATTTGAGGAAATACTAAAGGAGAGTAGAGGGAAGAAACACAGGGCAAAATCCCCCGAAGAAGAGGAGGACTGGAACGCGGTAGTAACTCCCCCGTTTGACACCTATATTGACCCGAAGACAAGAGAAAGAGTAAGAAGGAGAGCCGAAAAAAGAAACAGGGAAGCGGAGATAAGGAAAATAAGGGAAGGAAAATCCAGTGAATGGATATTGTGGACGAAGAAGCAGAGGAGAGATAAAGAAGAAATGGAAAGAGTGTTGAAGCTTTGGATGGAGGATGCAAAACAGGCAGAATCGCAGGAAAGAAGAAGGGAGGTGACGGAGAAAGAAAAAGAGTTGGTGCAAAGGGAGAACGAAAAAAGAAATGGGAAGATAGGAAAAGAGCAAACAGAGAGAGTAGAGAAAGAAGAACAAACAAAAGAAAAATGGTGAAAGGGATAAAAATGGATAAGAGAAGAAATAGGAGAAGAGGAAAAGAAGAGGAGAAGAAGGACAACGACAGGAAGAAGAGAAGAATAAGTGCTAGAGAGGGTAAAAAGAGTTTAAAAGTGAAGTGTGGAACGGTAAGATTAGTATATAAGTGGAAAATTGATAAAAAAGAGTTAATAGAATACGGAAAGCTCTTAAAAGACCGACTAAAAAAGGACTTTTCCAAATGGACTTATAGACATAGACATAGTTTAGGTTTAAGACAAAGACACTTAATTGTTAAGGGAAAAATAGTTTTTAAGAAGGCGGAAGCTGATTGCGAGACGCAGTTATTTTTTGTTATTTTTATGTTTATTTTTGTTTTGTTTCTAGTTCTGTTTTATTTTCATTTCTTAATTTTTGAGATCAGAAATATTTTAATCAATACGACCAAAAAGGTAAAGCAGTATTATGTTTATGTTAAGGGTAATAGGTACAACGGAAGATCTGTGTGGGATGAATGTGAAAGACAAATAATTTTAAGTTTTGGATTTGTTTTTGTTTCGTTATACTTTTTTGATGGTAGATTGAAAGGTTACAGAGGTGCCTTAAAGGTTGTGATGTATGGACAATCTATGGTGCTTTTAGGTATACAAATGTATTATAAAGCGAATATTTTATTTTCTGATAAGTATAGAGAACATAGGTTTGACGAAGGTCGAATAAGACTGATTGTTGCTACAAAGTTTTTTAATAATATAAATTTTTGAATATTATGCGAGTTTTATGTATACTTACGTTATATGTTTTTACGTGATTGTATATTAGTAAGTAAGAAATCCTGGGGGGGCCCTAGAGGGGGAGAAGAAATAGGAACAACGGTAGCGTCACGAAACATAAAGGAGGGAGCAAAAGGGAAAATATTGGGAATAGGAAAGGGATGAGGTGTGGAGTATGGAATGCTAGGAGTATGAGGAATAAGAGGGAGGAGATAAGGAGAGTGGGGGAAAATTTTGACCTTATAGCAATTACGGAGACATGGCTGCGCCCGGAGGAGGTATATAGAATACCAGGGTGGCATTTCATCAGAAAGGATAGTGGGGGAGATAATAGAGGTGGGGGCTTATGTGTAATGATAAGAGAGGATATAAAGGTGATTAGGGTGGAGGAGTATATACGGGATGAAAGAAAGATGGAAAATCTGCTGGTAGAAATAGAGACTGAGGGGGGTAACATGGAGATAGTAGTAGTATATAGAAGACCTGGGAACTCGATCACCAAAAGGGATTGGAAAGAGCTATTAGGGAATTCTAGAACCAGGGGAAGTAGAATTTTTGTGGGTGATTTCAACGCAAAGAGTAGAAGTTGGAACTGTGACGAGGAAGATCAGAGCGGAGAGTTGTTGGAGGAAGTTTTGGACGAGGAGGAATTGGTGGTCGTCTTGGTGGTCGTTAACTTTAATACGTTATCGAGAATAGGGAGACCAGATCAGGGGGCTTCTAATTTAGACCTAATAATTGCTCCAGCGGAGCAGGCTCTAGAAATGAGAGCAAAAGAAACGGGGGAAACGTTGGGATCAGACCATCAAATAATAGAATTTGGATGGGAGACAAGGGGGGTAAATCCTAGTCTATGCCTATTTCATGGATTTTTACAGCTATTGAAATTGACTTTATAGATTAATCATATCTGAAATACAGTGAAAGATATGTTGGAAAAGCCTGCTGCACGGACAAGATTCCTTAGCGTGACACAAAGGCTAATTTAATTTTAACCAATAGGCAAGGGTATATATATAAAGAAGCTAGGCTCTCGGTAAGGGCTACTAATATCTTATTTTATTTTACTAAAGCAAACTAAATAGAAGGGTATTGTGAGAGTGTATATACTTCTACCCTACATGAAGTATACTATGCTCCGTTCTGCCGTGCACTTCCAGGAACATTTCCGGTAGGAGTGCATCGCAAAATCTGAAAACCATACACACTCTAAAGACAGAGGATCATAGGCAGTATAAAGTAATTGTTGAAGTGAGATGATAGAAAGGGTGAAAGTGACAGAAATAAATAGAGGAAGAAATAAATAGAGAGTTTGAACGAGAGACTAGAGGTTAATTGGATTACAAATTGGTGTCGTGGCCACAGGAAAATAATATGGTGAAAATAATAACCTAGGTTAGAACAATCTGCATATGAAAGGAGGGAATTAAAAATAGAGCATTTAACAAATTAGGTTAAGACAATGGATGACGGTAATACTAGATTAGGAAAGTTATTATAGGAAACAACTGGGATCCCTATTTAACTCTGTGACTTGGTTCTAAGGGCTGTGAGCCCGCAGAGGAAGGATAGATAGTAAGCAGACAGAATTCCCTCAGAATATTTGTGTTGTGTGTGTATTTCTTGGAATATTTAAACAGTGAACTGAAGGGTTTATGGACTGCGAAACAAGGGGTTTCTTTCTCTTTACCTCCTATGATACTTGTTGGAACATTGATTCTTTGCCTGGACATAAATTGGACGTTCATTATGACTAATCCTGCTACGGAGTGCTACATTTTTCAAATATCCGAATGCTCCTCAAGTTTGTTAACTGTCTTTAGTGGTATAAAGTGTTGAGTAGTCTGCGATGCCTTTTATCTTAAATAAATGGTGGAATTAGCTCCGGCAAGTGGACAGCAGGTCGCCCATAGAGTGTTTCGCACTAAGCTACGACTGTTAAATACTAGGTTTAGTTAAATATTAAGTATATTAGATAGTGGCACATAGCCATCACAAATATTCTAATTATAACTATAACTATAACTACAGTTTTAACTGAATTGAATTAGTTTGAATTGGGTTAAGTTGAATTAAATTAAATTAAATTGAATAACTAAATATATAAGGTAATTGTAAAATAGAATAAAGGAATAAAATAAACGAAGTAGTGTATTTAACTAAAACTAAAACTAAATATATTGCTAGTTAAGATGAATATTAAAATTACAATAAATATAGCGATGGACAGTTGGGCATCTGGGTGATCTTTTATAAGAAGATAGCCATGGGCTGTGCGGACAATTAGAGAGAATTGTCTATAGTCATTCAGAGAAAATTGAGAACCCAGATGTGAAGTGACGGGGAACCCTTTCACACTGATGCGGTTTAACCAGGGGTTATAGAGGGGATATAGAAGTATGCTGTATGGCGCATGTGTGTTGGGAGTTTATTATTTCTATTTGGAGTTTATTATTTTTATTTTCATGAATCTATTTTACTTACTTTGTTTTATCTTTCTTTTGTTATCCTTGTTTTTGCCCGATTCATTTTCATGCTGGGCAGCAGCTCCATAATAATACCGTATGGGGGGGTTCGAGAGGTGGAAAGATAGAAAGATAGCAGAGGTGACTTACGTTGGACGAGAACCTAAGTGTATTTATATATATAGTTACGTATATGAGAATGTGTTGGTGGGTGATGGAATGTAGGAATTTTTGGTTTTAGCCGGTTATGTTTCTGTTTCTTTGCGTGGGCTTGCGAGTGTGTGAGTGTATGAGGTTGTTTGTAGGAATGTGATTTTAGTTTTTTGCATGCTGTGTGAGGAAGGGTGAGGGTGTGTGGGTGTGGGGCTGCCTAAAAGGGGGTTTCTTACGTAGACTGTGTAGGTAGGTAGGTAAGATAGGTGTTTTAAATCTTTTTAGGAGATAACCGACCTAACTCCCCCTGTAAGGTGGGGCCACCTGAGTTCCCACAGGTGTGCGGACCCTTCTTGGGGGCAACTGCCGTAGCCCGTCCCAAGCCGGGTTGAGAAAAGTAGAGGGGCCTAATCGTACCTAACCTATAGTTCCCCCTACCGGCCACCCTACGCCAGGGGTGGAAGAGATGCCAAAAGGCGATTGCCCCACCTCCTGGGCTGAGGAACTCCAACACGGCGGTGGTTTCGGTCCCGTAAAAAAAAAGGTCTATCGATAATGGCGACATAATATGCCTAATAATATAAGTTATATTGAGAATAACAAGAGTAATAGGCCTAGTAATTATAGTTCTGTCGATAACAGCAAAATAATATGGGTAATATTATCAGTTATTTTGAGAATATTAGGAGTAATAGAAATATTAATTGCAGTGCTATCGATGACAGCCCCATAATATGGTTAATAATATAAGTTATATTGGCCACAATGGGAGTAATAGGAATAATAATTATAGATACATCGATAATGGCAACATAATATGTGTAATAACATAAGTTTCATTGAGAATGACAAGAGCAATAGGCATAGTAATTATAGTGCTATGGATAACAGCACCATAATTTGGTTAATAATATAAGTTATATTGATGACAATGAGAGTAATAGGAATAATAATTATAGATCCATCAGTAATGGCAACATAATATGTGTAATAACATAAGTTACATTGAGAACAACAAGAGTAATAGGCATAATAATTATATTTCTATCGATAACAGCAACATAATATGTGTAATAACCTATGTTATATTGAGAATAACAAGAGTAATAGAAATATTAATTGTAGTGCAATCGATAACAGCACCATAATATGGTTAATAATATAAGTTATATTGAGAATAACAAGAGTAATATGCATAGTAATTATAGTTCTGTCGATAACAGCAAAATAATATGGGTAATATTATCACTTATTTCGAGAATAATAAGAGTAATAGAAATATAATTGTAGTGCTATCGATAACAGCACCATAATATGGTTAATAATATACGTTATATTGGTCACAATGGGAGTAATAGGAATAATAATTATAGATCCATCGATAATGGCAACATAATATGTGTAATAACATAAGTTACATTGAGAATGACAAGAGTAATAGGCATAGTAATTATATTTCTATCGATAACAGCAGCATAATATGTGTAAGAACCTAAGTTAAATTGAGAATATTAAGAGTAATAGAAATATTAATTGTAGTGCTATCGATAACAGCAACATAATATGTGTAATAACCTATGTTATATTGAGAATAATAAGAGTGATATAAACATTAATTATAGTGCTA